TGAGCATGATGGACGCCTCCCAGGGGTACCACCAGATCCCTCTCGCTGTGGAGGACTGAAAGAGGGTTAGCTTTGTGACATCCAAGGGTACCTACTGCTACGTTGTCATGCCTTTCGGATTAAAGAATGCGGGAGCTACTTATCAGCGGTTGGTGGATAAGATGTTCAAAGGGCAGATAGGACAGAACATGGAGGTCTATGTGGATGACATGCTAGTGAAGAGCAAGAAGGCAGGCGATCATGTGGTGGACTTGCGTGAGACATTGAACACTTTGCGGCGATATGGCATGAAGCTCAATCCGACTAAGTGTAAGTTTGGGGTGCGGTCGGGAAAATTCTTGGGCTACCTGGTGACGGAGAGGGGCATCGAGGTCAACCCGGAGAAGGTACGAGCCGTCATCGAAATGCAGCCACCGAGGAACTTGAGAGAGGTGCAGATCCTGACCGGGCGCCTAGCGGGGTTGAGCAGGTTCATCGCTCAATCCGCCGAAAAGAGTTTTCCATTTTTTAAGGCTCTGAAGAAAGGGTCGCGGTTCGAGTGGACACCACAGGCGCAGCATGCATTCGAAAGGTTGAAGGAGTTCCTGGCTGAGCTCCCCCTACTTACCAAGCCGGAGCCTGGTGACACTTTAGTCCTATCGGTGGGGCGCGAGGCCATTAGTTCTGTATTGATAAAGGAGGAACACGGGCAGCAAAAACCAATATATTACGCAAGTCGGATATTGCAAGGGGCCGAGCGCCGATACTCAGACGTGGAGAAGGCTGCCTTGGCACTCATCTCCACTGCCCGGAAGTTGCGCCCCTACTTCCTAGCGCATAAAGTCGTGGTGCGGACCAATTACCCACTCAAAGATACTCTAGGTCGTCCTTCGGCCTCGGGAAGGATGGTAAAGTGGGCGGTTGAGCTAGGCGAGTATAATGTTGGCTTCGAGGTTCGAAAAGCTATCAAGGCGCAGGCGTTAGCCGACTTTATACAGGAATGCACACTAGGAGATGAGAAGGGCCCATGGATGGTGTATGTCGACGGCTCGTCGGCCGTAGGAGGAGCAGGACTCGGCATCTTGGTGGTTACGCCCGAGAAGGATCATTTGGAGTTCGCGGTGAAACTCTCATTTAGAGTATCGAACAACGAAGCGGAGTACGAAGCCCTCATCAAGGGGATCCAACTTGTTTTGAAGGAAGGGGCCCGACAAGTAATCATTCACTCGGATTCTCAGCTGGTGGTTGAACAGATCAAGGG